AGTGAATATTCTGCCGAAGGGAACGTAAGTCAGTATAGCCAATGTGAAGGCAATTTCGCTGTATCAAAATTTAAGTGCATATATCCTATGACCTAGCAACTCCGCTCACCTATATTTAGCTTTGTTAATTACTGGCATAAGTGTATAAAAAGCATGTAAAAACGGTTCAATTTCAGCTTATCTTTTTTAAGATTTTATTTTCTTGACAGAGAGAGAGAAAGCACGTGTGCACAAACAGGAAGAGCAGCAGACAGAGGGACAGGGAGAAGCAGGCTCTCCAGTGAGCAAAGAGCCCAACGTGGGGCTTGATCCCAGGACCCTAGGATCACGACCTGAGCCAAAGGCAGATGCCTAACTGACTGAGCCACCCAGGCACCCCTCAATTTCAGCTTTGAAAGTAATAAAAACTTGGAAACAACCTAAGTGTCCATTAACTAGAGACTAGATTGTGACAGTGTTTCCCAAATGTGCGGCAGACAGCAATGATGGTACAAGAGATAATTTTAGTCAGTACAGTGACAAAGACTCACTCTTTGACCTAACTTTAGTCAGGCACCTTTGAGCCCTCTTCTGACTGAGTCTCTTCCTTGGCCTGCTGTGCCCAGTTTTAGCAAAGAATCCTGCTAAGTGTTCCAAGGAAGACACTGTTCAAGATTACTGTAATAGGAATAAAGACTACTGCAAAAGGGAAGAAGGTTTGAAACTCAACTCTGAAAATAAACTGGGACAACTGGGGATTTATAAAAAAATTACTAAGAGGAACTTGGTTAGCCATCAAGGGTGGGGAAAAAGGAGCTTGACTGATCTACTTGATTACTTAAGGGGATTCTCCATAAAATGGCTTAGGAGCGTTCTTTGCTAAAACTGAACCCAACAGGCCTAGTCAAAAATGGACCCCAAAGAAGCCTGATGAAAGTCTAATCAAGGAAGAGGTCCTTGGGGTACCTGGGTGACTCAGTCAGTTGAGTGTCTGACTCTTGGTTTTGGCTCAGGTGGTGATCTCCAGGTCCAGAGATCAAGGTGCAGCACATCAAGCCTGCACCAGGCTCCTCTCAGTGGCGAGTCTACTTCCCCTCTCTCTCTGCCCCTCCCCGCTGCTCACGCATTCTTAACTTCTCTCTCTGAAATAAATCTTAAAAAAAAAAAAAAAGAAGGAGTCCTTGCCACTACCATGAAAATAATCTCCAAGACAATGAGTGGGGAAAATAAACAGGTGGCAAAACGATATAAATATACAATACAATGCTATTTAATTTTAATACTTCAACTTACAAAATAATCACATATCTTCCTCAGACATACATGTATGTATATAAACGGATTTTTTAAAAAGTAGGAAAAAAAAGACACATGTAAAGAAGGAACAGTGGTTACCTCTAATAAAGGGACTGGAACTGGGGATGTTATCAAAAAAGAACATTACCCTTACTTCTACTTTAATTTTCTACAAGAATCAATTCCTGTATCATGTATAATTAAACATTAAGAACTAGCACCCTCCCATCCAGAACTTCCCCTCTAATACTCTTATGCAGTTGACCTAATCCAGCTAAAGTTTAGAGATAAAGGGGCAAGTGGTACAATTTTTTTCACCATCCTTGTTGACAAGACATTTAGAATTCCTTCACCATTCCCACACCACTCTATTCATCCCCCAGTTCATGCCCGTAGTCCTATACTGAAATACCCACTGGTGGAAGGAGTGAGGATCATCCACATCATGGCCATCTGGAGCCAAAGGGTTGGAGAAAGGCTCACCTTAAAAAAAAAAAAAAAAAAAAAGAATTGGCATTAATTTAATCAATCTCTTTCGTGTCAGTTCCTGTGCATGTGCAAAAGTTGGGACTATATTAGCGAACAATACTGACGTTTTCACGTCAAACTGCTCATATTCTAGTGACAAGGCAGAAACAGCGACAGTGACCGTACAAAGTAATAAGTGCCCAAGTGAGAAAATACAAGGAGCTGTTGGTGCAGAGAGGGGGCCCCTAAACCCGCGCTGGAGGATCAGCAAATACCCCCGGAAAATGACATCCAAGATACTGCGAGTAAAATACACTGGCGCAACCCAAGATTAAGTGCTGGCGGTAAGGGGGAGTTCACAGACAAAACACACGCGGCGTCACTTGGGGCAGGACGAAGCTTAGAGACAATAGTCCGGAGCTGCCCGGCTTCATTCGAGACCAAATGGCTTCGCCAGATTCCAGTATCACACCACCCACACAGAGCTTAAACTCTGAAGCAAAAACAACGCGCCAAGTGTCCCAAGTCCTGCAGATAAAGAAGGACAAATGACCCGAGCCTTACTGTCTCGCTCTGGCATTTCGTCTGCGGTGTCTCAACGCCAGCAGGTACTGAAGCTCCAGAGACAACACAGCCGGGACAAGATTTTTCCCACAATGCACCTCAGTAACAAGCCCACAGTGCTTTGCGCTCCGTAGCCTATCGGCTACCGCCCGTTTACCGAGAAAAGAAAAAAAAAAGGGACGGCGCCCTCTGCAATGCTTTTAAGGCATTGGCTAAACTTTGCCCCGCCCCCTCACGTGTTCCAACTATCGCGGGAACAGGAGGGGCCGCGATTGGTCGGCTTGGAGACCTTGGCCGGAAGTCCTAGGGCGGGGAGTTAGGTACCGGCGGAGATGGCGGCTGCCGCAGCGAGTCGCGGAATCGGGGCCAAACTTGGCCTACGTGAGATTCGCGTCCACTTGTGCCAGCGCTCGCCCGGCAGCCAAGGCGTCAGGTGAGGCGCAAGGTGGTAGGGCCGGTAGGCTTCAGGGCGCCTAGGCCATGACCTCTGCCTCCCGGGTGTTTGGGGAGGCCCGGGCGTAGACAGCACGCACGGCTTTTTCTCCCGCCCAATAGGGAATTCATCGAGAAACACTATGTGGAGCTGAAGAAGGCGAACCCTGGCCTGCCCATCCTAATCCGCGAGTGTTCTGATGTGCAGCCCAAACTCTGGGCCCGCTACGGTGAGCGGGGAAGCGGGCGGTCTGGGACCGCAGTAGGAGAACAAGGGTAGAAGAGAAAGGGCCATCCAGGGTCACACAAAAACCTATAGGGAGACTGGAACTTGGAACTCGGACTTCGGCCTTGTTGTTGACGTTGTTTCGGATAAACTTATATTCGCGGGGTTATAGAATGCTGGTGTCTCGAGTAACACCAATGTGGAGGCAGGCCCTGTCCGCATAGGGACCAGGAGGTGTCGGTTTCGTAATTCAGAACAGGGTTCAGATGGGGAAGAGATGCTCGTCAATTCCCATCGAAGTGGGTCCTTACACGTGACATGTGGGTAGTGCCATTTCAGGTAGTCTGAGAATCTCAGTAATAACAAGCATGTGATAATGACACTGTTTAGCACTTAATGCTAAGATCTGCGTTGAGTACTTCCTTGCCTACATCTCATTTAATCTTCATTAATTATATGAGGGGGTGTATTCTTTCTTTTCTCATAGTAAAGGTTAGAAAGGTGAATCAAAAATTTTATGGAACGGGCACGGGCTGGTTCAATCAGTAGAGCCTCCAACTCTTGATCTCCCAGTCATGAGTTCAAGCCCCATGTTGAGCATAGAGCTTACCTAAAAAAAATTTTTTTATGGAACATACCTAAGATCATGTAGTAGGATACAACAGGGTTTAGCCTTTACACCTGTCCCCCCTTTCTAGGGTGCACTTCTACCAGATTTTCATGGATAGCTGGTTAGAATTCACGTTGTTGTTATTCAGATCTGAAATTTATATATCACTTCCTTAATAAGGCATTCCCTGGCAAATTATGTAACATTGCGCTTAGCTCCTTTTTATCATATTCTCTAAGTTTACCACAATCTGAAAATTATGGTCATGTTGCTTGACACATAAGCCTTCCTCTAGGAATGTCGGGGCAGGGAGAAAATAAGTCATATCTGGGCGCCTGGGTGGCTCAGTTGGTTAAGCGACAGCCTTCCGCTCAGGTCATGATCCCGGAGTCCTAGGATCGAGTCCCGCATCGGGCTCCCTGCTCAGCAGGGAGTCTGCTTCTCCCTCTGACCCCCTTCCCTCTCATGCTCTCTTTCTCTCTCTCAAATAAATAAATAAATAAAATAAAATCTTAAAAAAAAAAAGTCAGACCTAGGGTAGACTGGTTCTAACAGTGGATAGCTGCAGTATGCATTAAAAATTGTTTAGAGGAGGAAAAAGCCAGTAGACTAGAGGAGGAGATGGACACAAATTACTTTAGTGTATTATACTAGAACTATAGGAGCCACAGAATTGGCACCCAGCCAAGGCTAGGCCCATGCAAAGCACTGTTCATAGTGGCTAATAATAAATACCTTACCAGGCCCCTAAAAACTTCCCTGAAACATCTTCCTTCCCATCGTGGCCACCCAGAATCAGCCAAAATTCTAGTTGGTCCTGGGCTCCCTAGATGTGTTTGAGAACCCCTGGATAAATTCTAGGTATCCCAGATACACCTTGGTCATATTTCTATACTACTTTTCTCATCCTAACAAGACTGTAAGTTGAAGACAAAGACCTTTTATTAATATTTTGGTAGCCCTACATACTAGATATTTAGTCACCTTTCTCTCTCCTCAGCATTTGGCCAAGAGAAGAATGTCTCTTTGAACAACTTCAGTGCTGATCAAGTAACCAGAGCTGTGGAGAATGTGCTAAGTGGCAAAGCCTGAAGCCTCCACTGATTGCTAAGAGCAACAGCCCCACAGCTTGGGCTCTGTAGGACTGAGTACAATGTGAAAAAAGTGTTCTTCTGTTCTTTATAAAGCTTGTGCCGAAAAATGCCATCTCTGGATGTTCTTGTCCTCATTTTATCCTCCACCCCATCGTGCAACCACTGAGGCAAAGCAGTATAATATAAAAATAAAACTTTATTCTGTCCCCAACATAGGAGCAGAGAACATGAGATGTCATGGTTCTAAATCCTCAAAAGGGGATCCAGGGGCAAGGAAGTTGAGGGGGTGGGGGGAGGTGATGAGTTGAATGAGTGGCATCGAGAAGCCAGGTCACCTGTGAAGAGCTGTCTTCTGGAGAGCACGCACACGATCCTGGAGCTGTGCCTCCTCCTGATGCTTTTCTAGGACCTGCAGCCCTGATTGCTGCAGAAACGCCTCCACAGCCTGAGGGCAGCAAAGAAAAGGATTCAACACCTAGGTCCCCGTAACCCAACACTTGATTCCCACAGCCTTACAGATTAGCCCACCTCCATTTGGAAGTGTGCCTTCCCAACAAGAGGCAGGAATTTCTGACCTGGAGTCCACACAGGCTTGCCAGGCCCAGAGAAGTGACTCTAGATAAGATGGGAAGGGAAGGGGCCATGGTGAGACTAGAGGCCTCAGAACAGGGGTACCAGGGCCAAAACTCACCTCTGGCCGATAGAGGAACAGCAGTTGCAGCAGCTCTAAACTCTGGCCTACTACTTCAGTATCAGAGGACGCTAGCATGCCCATCAAGCAGGGGAGCAAGGGCCCTGGCCACAGATGTTGGCAGTAAGCAGGACCCTTCTCAGCCACATTGCACAGAACCGTGAGCACCTGCAGAGAGACATGTATACACAGTCCCCACAAAGGATGAAAACTGAAGACTAATGATAGAGCTAAAATATATGGAGTGCTGATCAAATGGTCAGGCACTGTGCCAAGCACTTGACGCATGTTTTATAATTCCACAGCTGCCCTCGGGTAGCACTCCTATTCTCAAATTATACATGAGGAAACTAAAGTTCAAGGTGATAAGCTGATCTGCCCAAGGTTAGTAACTAGTAAAACAGTTAGGGATTCACACCTAGGCTGGTCTGGCCCTGAAGCCATCCATACCACACCACCTGCCAGTCCTCAGGTAAGGGTACTTCTGAGTGCAAAGGCCTGCTCCCAGTGTTTTTACTTTGGCCATCAGATCCTGGACTTAAGTGACCCCAATACCTACCAATACGCTCACCACATTAGAAACTGGCAGCAACTGCAAGAGGGGCTCGATCAGATCCATGGAGAGCAAGGAGGTACAGAAACTAGAACTGTTCGCTGGAAGGGAAAATATGAGGATGAAGTCCCTCAAACTGGGGCCTGAACCTGCCTCCCCCCACCCCAGCCCCAATCTTACCCACCTCAGCCCAGGCAGTGAGGAAGCATACCCAGAATTTAAAGGTCTAGGCCTAGGCACGTTATGGTACGTACCAGTGAGGTTGTTAAGGAGCCAGAGGCCCTCAGGAAGTAGGCTGGGCTGTTTCTGGAGGAAGAACTGCAGAAGGATAAATAAGGCCGCCACAACACGCTCATCTTCGAGCTGATTTGGCCCTCCCCCAACCTCCACCGCTGCTTCTGTTAGCAAGTTGCTTAGACACCGAAGCACAGGGCATGCCAGCTGCAAAGACAAGGTGGGAGTACAGTGTAAGAAGGAAAGGGTTACCTACGTCCTGGAGGAGATGCAAAGTAAGAAGAAAGGTAGCCCAGATCTTGACCTGTCCTCCACCTACCAACTCCAGTCCTGCATCCTCAGTTCTCTGGACAGCCCCAGCCACATCCAGCAGCAGCAGCCCCAGAGTGGACAGACCCCCATGGTAGATAAGCAGGGCATTGTTGACCTGGCTAGGCAATAAAAAGCAAGTAGTCACTACTCAGTCAACCCTACCTTTAGGATGGCAAATGGCCTAGATTGCTGGGTTTCCTGGGATCCAAGCAGAGAAGAAGGAAGAAAACTCATTGCAATTCTAGAAACCAAAGTTCAAAAGCCCATGTCTAGAAGGGAGCCCCAAGGCAAGTCTGTGGCACTTTTGCAAATGGTCTGTGTTACCTGCAGATGATGTAGTGCAGGCACCAAGCAAACTCCACAGCGACCCCAAGGTTCAGCTTTGGGCCAGGTTGCAACAGTCGCAGGATATGCTGGGGGAGAGTGGAGCCCAAGACAGAGCTGCCAACAGGAGAGTTGTGAGTTGGAACCACAGAAGGCAAGATGTCAGTCATTCTTCCCAAACCCTAACAGCAGGTGGGAACGTATCCAAATCCAAAGCTCTTGCCAGCCAGACACATCAAGCCAAAATGTTCAAGTTTTGGAAACAAAACTCAATCAGGTGTCCAGGGGCTACATCACCAAGCAGGTCACACTTGCCTCCACATCTGCAGACACAATTTTACTTACGGGATGATCATCTCTGGAGCTTCCTTAGCCTGCAGGAGCTGGGACAAGGCATATCCAAGGGCTTCCAGCACAGTCAGATGGGGGGACTAGAAGTAGACAGGGTAGAGATCTGACTCTGGAAGCTGGGTCATTAATATTTCCTGTGACTTTCAACCCCTTAGCACAAGGCAGAGGCTGGAGCTGCCTAAACAAAGCAGGGGGGCCATGTAGAGAGAAGACAGGGGAGGGCTGCCCAAGGAGGGAGAAAGTGGATGGATGCTCACCTGGATGCAGGTAGCCAAAGCTGGAACAATGCCCTGTGGCAGGAGCTGCCTTCTCACAGCCTCACTCTCCACAATCAGGTTACCCAGTGTATACAGACAGAGCTCCTGAGAGTGGGACAACAAAAGCACGGGGCATGGCCTGTCTCAGGCTAGTGTGAGGGTGGGAGTGCAGAGGATGAACAGTCTTGCCCTTGAGCTCTGGGCAAAAGGGAGTGGAAGATGATGGGCAAATGTACGGCTATGGACATCAGGGGAAACAAATTTTCTTCTTCCCCCTATGTGCCAGCTCAAACTAGACCCAAAAGCACAATATTTAAATCCAAGCCAAAAACAAGGTAGGAAGGGGCAGGGCTTACTATAAAGTCTGAGCTGTGACCGGAGAGGTAGGTGAGAAGGTATGAAGTGGCTGGCAGGCAGGCCTCAGCCACCGCAGACTGCTCAGAATGAGAGAGCTCATGAAGGCACCGAGCGGCCTCTAGCTGCAACAGGGCTTGGCTGCTGGTCAGAAGCCCGACCAAGGTCCGAATGCTGCCCTCCAGCCTACATGAGTGAGTACCAGAGCCCTGCTCAGCCTCTGGCCCAACCCCTCCACACTCCTGTCCATCCCTCAGAGGCCCAGGCCCCACGCACCACCCATACTGACCGGATGAAGGTCTGCTGCGTCTCAGGGTGCTGCAAGCCTCGACGAAGGCTGACCAGAGCCCTCTCTCTCTCCTTTTCCTCTGTCCCTCGTTGCGCTAACCGGAGGAACTGTTGGATCTGGAGTGCAGGGCAGGGAGAGGAGCGATGGCAACACAAAGTTGCCAGAGAGCATACGTGAGTCCTACTCTGCCCACTTCACCTGTGAGCACTCTAATGTTCCACCGTCCCTAGAACTTGCCATTCCTGCTAATATGCTAATAAGCATCAATCTTGCAGTAGAGTAGACAGAAAAGGGAATCAGAACTGGGTTTAATACCAGCCCAGCCACTTACAAGGAACCTAAACCTCAGTTTTTCACCTGAAAAATGGGAATAACGTATTTCCTGGCTTCTTACAGTTATTTCAAGGGTAACATTTAAGTCTTTCAGCCACAACCTACCCCTCTAGCCATTGTCCCCGTGCAACCTATGCTCCACCACCACCCAGCAAAACAGGACTTGTCTTTCAATGCTTCCAAGCTTTTGCACAATCTATTCCTTCTGCCTGGGACACCCTCCCCAGGTCCTCCGCTCCCTTCAGATTTCTGTTCCTGTTACGGCCTCTGGGAAGTAAGTTCTTTCTGGCTTCCTTTAAGACTTAGAGGTTCCTATTGTGCCTCATGTTTCCTTCATGACAGGTGGTGGCACGCCTGTCTTCTTCACTGGGCTGCTGCAAGTACCACACAGAAAGGGACTCTCCTCATCTTTGTGTACCTCAGTCCCCAGCACAGTGTCTTGGCATAAAGCAAGCACACAATGAACCAATGAACCAATGGTATAACCTAGGCATGAGTGCTTCTATAAACAACACATGACATTATAAACAAAGGGGATGCCCAATGCTTGCTGAATGAATAAATCAGCTAAAACTAATCATGTCGCTCACTTATTCAATAAATAATGACCATCTACTATATGTCAGATACTATAGGGCATCTGACTTTTCAATGACAACAAAGAAGATAGGGCCTAGATTCCCATGCATTTAAAGTCTAGTTGGAGAAACGATAAACAAGCAATTAGTATGCAAACAGGCTGTCAAGACAGAATACTAAAAGAGACCCACTTTTACATGTAGCAAATGTAAAGGCCTTGAGACAGGAAAGAGCCTAGTATATTCTTTCAAAAACTGAAAAGGGAGAATTTTGGCTAAGATGAGTAAACTGGCAAGGTTGGAGCTAGGCAAACGTTAGACCATTCATCTAGGAAGGAAGGATTTTGAATTTTCGTTTAAGATTTATATATTTTTAAGATTTTATTTATTTGAGAGAGAGAGAAATAGCACAAGAAGGGGGAGTAGCAGAGGGATAGGGAGAAGCAGGCTGCCGGCTGAGCAGGGAGCCGGATAAGGGACTCGATCCCAGGACCCTGGGATCACGACCCCAGCCCAAGGCAGACGTCTAACTGACTGAGTCACCCAGGTGCCCCAAAGATTTATTTATTTTAGAGAGAAAGAGAGAGAGCTCACGCAGGGGAGAGGGACAGAAGGAGAGGGAGAGAATCTCAAGCAGACTCCATGCTGCCCACGGAGCACCACCCGGAGATCATGACCTGAGCCAAACCCAAGAATCAGACCCTTAACCAAGCCACCCAGGCGCCCCAGATTTTGGATTTTTAAGAGACATCTGACTGATGTATGGAGAATGAACTTGAAGGCGGCAAGCAAGATGCAAATGACCTGTTAGAAGGCTACTGTGAGTACACGGAGAAAAGGATGGTGGTAGCCGCGATGCTCACCATCGTAAAGGCGCCAGAGCTCTTTAGGGGGTGAAAAAAGGGCTAGGACTTGATGTACTGATGTGGGGATGAGGGACAGAGTTCTCGAGGATGATTTCCCAGTTTCTGGCTTGGCCCACTGGATGGATGGAGGTACTGAAGGGGCCGCGTTCAGGTTTGGCGCCGAGCTCAAAAGGAATTTGGCGCCAGTCGGCGTAGAACAACTCCCCGAGCACCCGGTCACCTCACCTCAGCTTCCCCGAGGATCCTGGCCACACACCCCCCTTCGACTTCCTCCAGGACGTCGTCTCTCAGCAGCCTCTTACTGACCAGCTGCTGCTCCCTCCGCGCCTTCCGCAGTGCTGGGGGCAAAAGAGCCGGCTGAACGTAGGAAGGGCATCTAGCACCTTGAATCCCGTCTGCCACCCGGGGGCCTCCTCATCCTATCCCCGACCGCCATGCCACCCGCTATACCACACCACTCCTCGATAGTGGAGGAGCTACAGTGCCCCCGCCGGCATCTTCCCGTCTCCCTTGCCCTCCCGCACCTGCCTCCCGCTCCCGCCGGCGGCACCGTAGCTCCTCCACTACGCAGCCCACCGGCCTGAGGCGGCCCTGCCGTCCGCTCCACATGGCGGAGCTGGAGAAAATTCGCAAGGAGCCCAGAGCCAGGAAGCTGGTCCCTGAGCCTAGAAGGCGGCACGGACCGCGCAGCCGCAGCGCAGGGCGGAAAAGGAGGTGCGAGTGGGCGGAGCACAGTGCAAAATGAAGGCGGCCGGACCGAAGGAGGGGCGGGGCGAAGGGAGAGTAGAATGGGGTGGGGCAAGGGCAGGAGGGGCGGGGCCAAGGGCAGGGCCGGGCGGGCCGGGCAAGGGCAGGGAGGGGCGGAGCGAAAGCTAGAGGCTGGGGAGGACCTGGGCAACCGAGCGCCTGGGTCGCAGCAGCCGCTCTGCCTCCGATTGGTATTTCTCCTTCCCAATTCTTTCTCTTTCCCGATTCCAGAAAAGAAACTCCACCTCGACCCGGACTGCCAGTGCGTGACCTTCCGTTCAACAAATACAACCTCCCCACACTTAACACACCCTAGACAAACATTCAAAAACTACCCCGAGTTCGAGGAAGATTTTCCCAAAAACTCCGCTCCCACTGATGAACGCTGGATTTGCATTATCTTATTGAATGTTCTACACGACAATTATCCCCATTATGCGCGTATGAAGAAAATGAGACAAATATAATTATTTCACTGTCCTGCATAAAAGTGAATCGCATTATTTTGAGGATAAAGTAATTCTTAAACCAAATTTTGAGCACCAATAACTACTACGTACTGGGGAAACACTGTGAACTAAAAAACCATGTTCCTCACCCTCGAAATCCGAATTGTGGCAAAGTAAGCTTTACATGGTCTAATCCCTGCATACCTCTCCAGTCTTCACTGGAAGGGCACCTCGCCTTATTCATCTCTCCTGGGATCTTCTCTTTGTTCCCTAAACAAGCCCTCTTTTTCTCCTCCAGGCTTTTGGCCACGCTGTTGCCCTGTCTAGAGCCCTGTCTCTGCCTGACCGTCCCCCCAACCCAACCAGCACCCTTCCCTTAATTAACACCACCCTCAAGATCTCAATTCCAATGTCCCCTACTCAGAACTACTGGACCTCTGTCCCTGTCATGAGAGCTTATAGCACCATATACTTCATAACCATTTTTACTGCCATGAAGTTACAGTGTAATTGTTTGATGTTGTCTCCTCCCTAAATCCCCTTCACAGCTCCGAGACAGTGGAGTCCTGGTAGCAGTTAAGAATTTTTATTGGAGGGGGTGCCTAGGTGGCTCAGTTGGTTAAGCGTCTCCCTTCAGCTCAGGTCATGATCCCAGGGTCCTGGGATTGAGCCCCACATCGGGCTTCCTGCTCAGCGGGGAGCCTGCTTCTCCCTCTCCCACTCCCCCTGCTTGTGCTCTGTCTCTCTCTCAAATAAATAAAATAAAATCTAAAAAAATAATTTTTATTGGAGATCTCTAATTTTTAGAAAGCTATTATTTAGGGAAATGTACGAGTAAGAACAAATCCAAGAAAGGGAACTGTTCTTCAAATCAACTTCCTCTGGTAGTCTAGTGGTTAGGATTTGGCACTTTTAAACCAACTTCCTTCCCTAAAATTTAATTCCACCTCTTGGAGTCAATTGCCTTTAATCTCTTCCACAAACCACCTAGTTAAATATCTGCAGACCATTATCCTGCCCCCACATCTCTCCAGGCCTAGCATCCATCCATTTCCGGGACAACCATTTACTGAGCAACTGCTATGCACCATGCTCTGGCTGGGAATAGAGTCTGGATCTTCTCTCCTTTGTCATGGGACGGGCTGCTTCTAACACCTACATGTTTCCCCTGGTGAGGAAGGTAAGACAAGTCACCAGGCAAAATGCCTGCCCAGACAGTTACAGCTGCTCACCCTGTTTTTTTTGCACTTATCTGCCCAACATCACTGTCAACCCTGTAAAAAACAGCCCCATGTCCTCTCTAATACAGAGCTAGCTGTTCCTTTCTCCACCGCTCCCACAAGTCCTTAGTTTCTTTCCTCTGTGAGTCCTCTTCCCTATGGACTGTAGTCTGGATCTGTGTTTGCCTTCCCCACGTACTGGAGTACTTGAGGGATGGTGTGATGGTCATGTCTGCATCCCTGGGCTTTGTACCAGCCCTGACATTTGGTAGACAAATGATAGATATTTGTTGAATCAAGGTGTGAGTTGAGGATCCTTGCAGAACCATTATTGCCCCTCTTTGCTTGCAATTGTCATCCAGAGTGCCTCCCTTAAAATAATGGGATTTGCTAAGGAGCCAGGCTTCAGTGGCCTGAGTCTTCTGAATGTAGAGGCACTGATGAAGAACATAAAAATCAGGACTACTCTTAATAGGTGTGGCTCTGTAGTAATAGACAAGTACTACCATTTTCTCCATTTTACAAATCAGGACCCCAGAAATCTGAGGCCCAGAAACTTGCCCAAATATCACAACCTCAGCGGTAGAGCTGGGATTCCAAGCCTAGCTGTCTGACCACAGAGTCGTGTATTTAACACTGAACTATACTCACATTCTTGGTCCTTGGGGATGTTCCAGTGACCTGGCCTGGCTGGCCTTGGGGCATGGTTCAGGATATCAGGGCATGCCCAACAAGATACACAGGGAGCAGTGAGGTCTAATGAAACCTCTTTGTTTGGAATGAGATATGAAGCCATTTATAAAAAAATAGGAGAAGCGAGAATTCAAACATCTTTAATATAACTCTTGCCCCAGAATTTACAGGTGAAGAACTGTGAGGGTGGTTGTAAAAGCACAGCCCCTATTCACCCTCTGGGACACTTGCTTTTTTTTTTCTTGGCAAAACAGGTGAGTTACTAATTAACCTCATTCAACATAGGTCCAGCCTTTCCTTCCCAGGATACAGGAACTGTGTTGGAGGGGGAAGGGCAAGGGGGAAAACTAGGTTAGAAATACCCCTTTCTCAATTTCAGGGCAAGGAAATGGAAACTGCAAGAGGTGGAGCTACTTGGCCAATGTGTCTCTGTTAAACACCTCTACTTTTAAGAAAGCTATTATTTCAAGAAAGCCTGAGTGGTTCAGTCAGTTAAGCATCTTGTCTTGATTTTGGCTCAGATCATGATCTCAGGGTCCTGGGATTGAGCCCTGCGTGGGGCTCCCCACTCAGCAGGGAGTCTGCTTCTCCCTCTCCCTCTGCCCCCCACACCCCTGCTCGAGCACTCTCTCTCTCTCTTTCTGAAATGAATAAATAAATCTTTTTTAAAAAGAAAGAAAGAAACCTGGGGCGCCTGAGTGGCTCAGTCGGCTGAATGTCCCACTGTTGGTTTCGGCTCAGGTCGTGATCTCCGGATCCTGGTATCCAGCCCCTCATCAGGCTGGGTGCTGGGTGAGGAGTCTGCTTGTCCCTCTCCCTCTGCTCCTCACCCCCCCTCCCTCAAATAAGTAGATAAATAAATAAATAATCTTTGAAAAAATAAAGCTGTTACTTTCTTAATAAACAAAGAATAAGTCAGGGAGAAAAAAAAAGGAAGGGAGTTGTTCTTCAGACCAACTTCCTCTTGAATTTCACTCTATCCCTTGGAGTCAACAGATGAAGTTTGCAATCTCCTCCGCAACATATCTAGTTAAATAGCCGAGGGTATTCAGGGGATTGGATTGGGTGTCGGTAATTTAATAGTAACCACCAAGACTAGGGAAAAGTTAAAAAAACTACCCCGGTTGAATCGCTGGGATAAAGGCAGGGGGAGGTGAGAGTTCTGGCCTGACGCACTTGGGATTTTTCTTTCCCCAAAGCTAGCAAACAAGCCTGGGGTGTCTGATTCATCAGGGCACTGCCGGGGGCACTCTAAATGCCCTGCATGATCCTCCCTGTTACAGTCCTGGCAACATCCTTCATTGCAAAACTTCCCGGAAGGATACATTGCATGGAGTAGTTGGGCGGCAGAGAGGTGGGGAGTGACCAGGGTTCACAGAGAAAAGAACAGAGTGACATCCCAGGGTTACATAAACTCTCAGGCCGCCCAAGAGGACAGATAACGTGTGTGGAGCCTAGAAAGCAGGGAGTGTGGCTGTGTAGGAAAGAAGCCGGAGCCCTTCCCTGAGCCTGCCTGGACGCAGAGGCCCGGAGCACCAATCGACCATGGTGAGTGTACAGTCCTGGGGCCGAATGGAAACTGCTCAAGGAACCCCAGGGGCTGAGTGGGGCCGCCCTGACCTCCGCTTTCTTCCTAGGTGCGCGCGCCCTGCTGGTTGCTGCTGCTGCTGCCGCCAGTGCTGTGCGTCTCGGAGACCGCACTAGAGCCCTGCGAAGTAGACGACGAGGATTTCCGCTGCTTCTGCAACTTCACGGATCCGGAGCCCGAGTGGTCTAGCGCCTTCCAGTGCGTAAGTGCGGTCGAGGTGGAGATCCACGGCGGCGGCCGCAGCCTGGAACAATTCCTAAAAGGAGCAGACACGGACCCGAAGCAGTACGCTGACATGGTCAAGGCTCTGCGCTTGCGGCGGCTCACAGTGGCCTCCGCGCAGGTTCCCGCTGTCCTTGTGGCCGCCTTCTTGCGGGCGCTGGGGTACTCCCGCCTCAAGGAACTGACGCTCCAGGACCTGGAGGTAACCGGCGCCATGCCGCCGCCGCCTCGGGAAGCCGCTGGGCCTGCGCTCTCTACCCTCGGTCTCCGGAACGTGTCGTGGGCAACGGGTGGTGCCTGGCTCACCGAACTGCAGCAGTGGCTGAAGCCGGGCCTCAAGGTACTGAGCATTGCGCAAGCACACTCGCTTGCTTTTTCCTGCGCACAACTCAGCACCTTCCCGGCACTCACCACCTTAGACCTATCCGACAATCCCCGACTGGGCGAGCGCGGACTGACAGCAGCTCTCTGTCCGCACAAGTTCCCGGCCCTCCAGGCTCTAGTTTTACGGAACACCGGGATAGAGACGCCCAACGGCGTGTGCTTGGCGATGGCGGTGGCGGGTGTGCAACCCCACCGCCTAGACCTCAGCCACAACTCGCTGCGCGCCACCGCCCCAGGCGCTCCTGGGTGTGTCTGGCCCAGCACACTGAACTCTATAAACTTGTCCTTCGCTGGGCTGGAGCAGGTGCCTAAGGGACTACCGGCCAGGCTTAGCGTGCTTGATCTTAGGTGCAACAAGCTGAACAGAGAGCCTCGGCCAGAAGAGCTGCCCAAGGTCAGTAACCTGGCACTGGATGGGAATCCCTTTCTGGACCCTGAAGCCTTCAACTACCAAGAAGATCCGATGAAGTCTGGCGTGGTTCCAGCCTGTGCGCATTCGGCCCTGGCGGTGGGGATGTCAGGAACCTTCGTGGTGTTTCAAAGGGTGGGAGGCTTCACCTAAGGCCCACGAGAGACAAATGAATTGGCTCGGATTGCCCTGGCTCCAGGGAAGCCTTATCGGGACGTCTTTTTTTTTAACCAACCAACCCTCTGCCCCATCTTCATTAAAATCTGAAACAACGATCTGTGTCATTCACTCAATGGGTGTCTGTGATCTGCTGGGGCACAGTGCTGGCTATGGAATCCATTATATTTAGCTTTCTTCATCCTAATTCCCTAGAAACCTAAGAATATAACTTAAAGGGCGGAAGAGGCAGGGAATGTTTCCTGTCTAGGGCTGCGCCTGAGAAACAGGGGTTTCTGTACAATCTGGCTTTCTGAGATTACTTACACCCGTGTTAAAGGATGTTTGAATGGTAAACATGCCTAGGAAGATACAGAATGTTTCCTCTCTGGTTCACTTTCCAAGAGCCAGCTGCTCCCCCTTTTAAAAGTAATAAAACCCGGAGTTACTTGCTTATTCTCTCTCTCTCTTTCTCTCTCCCACTCTCCAGGGAGAAGGGACAGCTCTGCCACCTGTCCTGCATAAGTTCTGAGTTTCATAATTTCAGGGTTTCTCTTCTGCTGTGTAAAGCCCCTCTGCACACACAGGTGCACTGGCTTTCACCGTGTCATCTAATGGGGAATTTGGCGTGGAGGACTGTTCCAAGATGCTGTCATTAAGCAGTCTATCTCTGAACCAGATATCTTGTCATTAGGTTAGTAAATGTGTGTATAATTGTTTCTGGCTGGATCTTTAATTTGCAGATAGGATAATAGCTTAGACCCATCACAGCCTCTTAGACCTTTCACAGGGCAATTAATGACATGTGCCCTCCAAAACACATTATCTCAGAGACCCAGGGCATCAGCCAAGAGGTACTGTTCCTCCTAGGAGTCCCTTCTTCACATCGAGGAGGCAGCCACATCCATTAGAGAGCTAGACACCTGCCTCACAGAGGACCTGGGAGAGGGATGGGGGGGTAGAATATAAGCACAGCCCTCTGGCCTGCCTCCCTCCAGTGTCCAGAGCCACACAGGTAGGAATGAGGATGCAAAGTAACATTGTTGGAAGAGTTACACAGGTAACCAGACCACAGACTCAAAGAATCCGTGGGGACTGGTAAACTGCCAACCCCAGTCAGGAAACCCCCTGGAACATCTCCAAGAGGATTTAATCCAGCCTCATGGAACATTTCCAGTGTCAGAGAACTAATGACCTCAAGCAGCTCCTTACATCTGAATAGCTTTGAGCACTCTTCATCAAAGTTATAGAACCCCTGCTCAACCTCAGGCTCTGTGTTAGGATCCTGATATACAAAGAGATGAATCCAAAACATCCACGTTCTCAGGGAATTCTCAATCCAATAAGGGAGATGTACACAGAAAAGATAGTTGTAATTCAATGAGTGGGAGGGATCAACTCTGTGAGGTCCTCTGGAAGGCTGTACAGGAAAGGAGACATTTAATCTGGGTCTGAGAGTTGAATATCACTTTCTCAGGAAGGACATTCCCAGGCAAAAATGGGTACTTTAAAAGGCTCAGAAACCTGAAAGTATATGGCCAGATCTGGGAATTATAACTGATTAGGTAGGGCTGGAGATCACAGTGATGGAAGCTGGAGACACTGATTCATTCAAGTGCCAGTTATGTGCCAGGGACTATGCTAAACCCTGTGGCTAGAGCGGGAATAATACAGAAGTTCTTGTTCATATGGAATTCAGACTCTAGATGGATAGTGGGGGTGAGGGGAAGACAATAAACATATAATATATCAGACTATGACAAGTGTTGCGAAGAGGACAGAGTGTTGAGGATTGATATGTTATATGAGAGTGTTAGGAAGGTCTCTCTGATAGGGGATATTTGAACAAACTCCTGAGTGAATTGGGAAAGTGAGTTTGAGGATATCTGCGGGAATAGCATTTCAGGCAGAAACAACGGCAAGCACAGCAATTCTGAGGTCTTTGGAATGTTAAAGGAAACAAAAAGGAGGCCAGTGTGGATGAAGCAGGGTGAGCAGGGGTGGTAGGGAAGAACAGTAAGAGAAAACATGAGAGGGTAGCAGGGCCAGATTGTGTAGGGCCTTGTAAAGCAATGCCACTCAAAGTATCATCTAAGGCAAGTGCCAGCCCACACACTGTTTAATTACCAAACTATAAGGAGGTAAGTTTAAAAAGTTTAAAAAGTCAAGAATGAGTGGTTAGAAACTTTTTAAAAAATATTTTATTTAGGGGCGCCCGGGTGGCTCAGTCGGTTAAGCGCCTGCCTTCGGCTCAGGTCATGATCCCAGGGTCCTGGGATCAAGCCCCAGGTTGGGCTCCCTACTCAGCGGGGAGCCCGCTTCTCCCTCTTCCCCTCCCCCTGCTTGTGCTCTCTCTCTCAGAGAGAGAGAGAGAGCAGAAGGCAGACGCTTAACCAACTGAGCCACCCAGGTGCCCCAATTTAGTTGTGTCTTTAATTCTTTCAGCAATGTTTTGTAGTTTTCACCCCACAAGTCTTCGGTTAATTCCTAAGTATTTTATTCTTTATAATGCTATTGTAAACGGAATTGTTTTTCTTAATTTCCTGTTCAGATTGTTCATCATCAGTGTATAGAAACTCACTGGATTTTTTTTTTAAGATTTTATTTATTTATATGTCAGAGAGAGAAAGAGAGAGCACAAGCAGGGGGAGTGGCAGGCAGAGGGAGAAGCAGGGAGAAGCCAGCAAGGAGCCTGATGAAGAACTCGATCCCAGGACCCTGGGATCATGACCTGAGCAGAAGGCAGACACTTAACCGACTAAGCCACCCAGGCATCCCAAAACTCACTGGATTTTATGTTAATTTTGTATCCTGAAACTTTCCTGAATTTGTTTATTCTAACAGTTTTTTGTATGTGGAATCTTTATGATTTTCTTTAAAAAAAAAAGATTTGTTTATTTATTAGAGAGAGAGAGAGAGCTCTCATGAGTGAATGGGAAGGGGCAGAGGAAGAGACTCTTCAAGCAGATTCCCCACTGAGCACGGAGCCCATCAGAGGGCTCGAACCCACAATGCATGAGATCATGTCCTGAGCTGAAACCAAGGGTTGGACGCCTCACTGACTGAGCCACCCAGCACCCCTCTTTACGATTTTCTACTTATAAGATCATGTCATCTGCGAATAGAGATAATTTTACTTTTTTTTCTCTTTTTCTTGCCTAATTTCTTTAGCTAGGATTCCACCATGTTCAATAGAAGTGGCAAGGGGCGCCTGGGTGGCTGAGCGGCTGCCTTCTGCTTGGGTCATGATCCTGGAGTCCCTGGGTCGAGTCCCACATCGGGCTCCCTGCTCAGCGGGGAGTCTGCTTCTCCCTCTGACCCTCCCCCCTCTCCTGTGCTCTCTCTTTCATTCTCTCTCTCTCAAATAATGTTTATTTGAGATAGAGAGCACGAGAGGGAAGAGGGTCAGAGGGAGAAGCAGAAGTGGCAAAAGTCGGCATCCTTGTCTTGACCCTGATTTTAGAGGGTAAGTTTTCAGTCTTTCACTATTGAGTATGGTGTTACGTTAATTGATTTTTTTAAAAGATTCATATATTTTAAAGAGAGAAAGATCATGCACGTGCAAGTGGGGGGAGGTGCTAAGGGAGAGGGAGAGAGAATCTCAAGCAGATTCCCGACACTCAGAGCCTGACACGGGGCTCCAACCCACGACAATGAGACCATGGCCTGAGCCAAAATCAAGAGTAGGTCCTCAACTGACTGAGCCACCCAGGCACCCCATGTTAATTGGTTTTTAAGATAAGAGAAATAGCATGGGAATAATTCAGTAGAAAAGGAACTTGATGATATAGGAGAAAGAAGAGAGTCCTGCCGGAGGAATGTCCTTGAATAGGTAGAAGAGGACTGGTACCTAATTCACCAGTAAAAGGGTTGGCCTTCAGATAAGCACACAAGCAGTCAACTTCTAGTCACCAGCTGGAGGGCAGGGTATTTGGGTAAAGATGGTCCTGCGGTAACAGCAAACTATGGAACTTCTACCAAATTGAAGCTCTAAATACAGATCTTTCTATGGCAGGCACCTCACTGTTCAGGATTCAATTTAAATGTTATCTCATCTGAAGGAGCCCCTCCTGCCTCGTTATCCTGATCACAACATTATACGTTATTTTCTTCACAGCATTAATCTCAATTGGAAATCATCTTCTTTATTTGTGCCTTTTTTGTTTGTTGAGTATTGTGTTGGAAGTTCCGTGACAACTGCTCAGAGCAGCAGCAGTGTCAATCTTGTTTACTTCTGAATTTCTCGTCCCAAAGACAGTCCCTGGCACACGGTAGGTGCTCCATAAATCTTTACTAAAAAATTGATTGAATGGGGGGCCTGGGTGGCTCAGTCGTTAAGCGTCTGCCTTCGGCTCAGGTCATGATCCCGGGGTCCTGGGATCTAGCCCCGCATGGGGCTCCCTGCTCGGCAGGAAGCCTGCTTCTCCCTCTCCCACTTCCCCTGCTTGTGTTCCCTCTCTCGCTGTGTCTCTCTCTGTCAAATAAATATATAAATTTTAAAAAAATTGATTGAATGAATGGAAAGAGCAGGCTGAGGCACTGTTGCTGCCATGAGGTAAGTGAGAAAAAACTGATTAGTGTTTTGCTTCATTAAGGTCAAATAAAAATATTTTTCTAACTGAGGTTGGAGGTCATAAAGTATGTGTCACAGTTCCAGTCACAAGGCATGTGGCATTTTCTGATCTGACAGTGTACAGCAGCCTAGGAGTAGGATTCATACATTCAAAATTGTGAGTGGGTAGAGGTTCTTGTTCAAAAGGGTGATGCAGGAAGATTCTGAACTCATCTTCTCCCACGGATACACTGAATCTACAGCTATGCATGAAACAATTTCTTCTGGGGAAAAAAAAACCAACTTAAAAACTGGCAGAGCAAAATTGAGGGTGGGTGCACAGGGCAGCCCAACTGAGACCCAAGGATTGAGCAAGTTGTGTTGATAAGGGCAAGGCTGAAAAATGTGCCCTAGAAAGGGAAGGAAGTGACAAGGAGTGAAGCATGGTTTAAGAGGAGAAACGGGGGGCGCCTGGGTGGCTCAGTTGGTTAAGCGACTGCCTTCAGCTCAGGTCAAGATCCAGGAGTCCCGCATTGGGCTCCCTGCTCAGCGGGGAGTCTGCTTCTC